TTCGGTATCTGCTCAGAAAAATCTAATGAATTCAAAGAAAAAACAAGTTTTCATTTCCCATTGAGATATTTGTTCATATCATATCATAGCATAAACTCACTTAAATTTGTCAAATTTCTCAGAAAACAAGACGTCTTATCTTTGATTCGCATCTCAAGTAAATCTATCATGATTTAAGGATGTTTAGATATTTGTACTGTAAAACAAAACAAAAATACTTTGGAAGATATACTTTTTTTTCTTTCAGACCTTTGTAAGACTTAATTTGTGGAAGGACAAATTAAGACTTTTTATGATCTGCAGAAACCCTGAAAAGACAATATTATCATTATTGTTTTTATATGATGACGATCTGAACCCATCATCACACAAGCTCTTGTTATCTCAGCAGTGCTGGTGTCTCAGAGAAAAAGCCCATCCGCTCCTCTAGAGGGTGACAGAAAACAAGCAGAGCCAGAGAGAATGTGGTCAAGTGTCCCTTTTTTTATTAAAGAGTCAGAATGACAAATCATTTCATAGCAGTCAAAACAGACAAGCCCAGGAATCTTGTAAAAATGACTCTTTTGATACATTACAAAATAAAAGTCAGGGCAAAATAGAAAACAGAGCTAAGATCTACTTCAGCCGGACGAGTGTCAGAAGAGCCATCAGAAAGACACATGACCTGGAGGAGTTCAGCCTTTCTTCTTCAGCTCAGTGTTACACATGCGTCACAGACACCAGAGAAATAAAAAAAGGAACCTTTACGAACACAGAGCAGAGCAGGTCTTCTGTGAGGTATTTCAAATAAACTCTACGCTGAAAAAATCAAGTTACACACCAGAGAGATGCTGGGTCCTCATTTCATTATATTACAAAACTGATGAAAACAATGAAAAAACTAAACTCTTTCCATCTTAAATCACCGCTTCTGATTGTGAGAAAGGAGACTAAGGTTTGCTCAGATCACACATTTCTGATTATTACTTATGATTTCATTCAATAATATTCCGGCCATTGAAGCAAATGAAACAATTGAGATACTTTGATCTGACATTTTCATGACAATTTAATACACATTTGACTGTTTGCTTTGTTATTCTCATTAGTCTAATTTAAAACACCAATAAAATTATTGTTTAATTGAAAACAGCATTACATTTTTTTTTCTTTACAGAAATAACACTTTGCTTCATTATGATAATATGAATTTGAGCTAAATGTGTTTGTTACAAAAATAAAATCACAATGAAAAAAAAAAAACAACTTAATTGTCTGAAAAATAGCCTTTGTGTTCTTCATGGTGAAAGTTTTTAGGGTAAAGACAAACATGTTCTTGACAGGTTTCATGAGATTCACTTCTTTACAACACACAAAGACAATGATTTCCATTAGATAAGAATGGACTAGTTTAATGTCCAAGAACTGCAACCCCATCAGATCCAGAGCAAAACCACAATCCCTTTCTGCACAATACAGTATCATCTGTATGGGTACATATCAAAACAAAGCCACTGTAACACGGTAACTGATCACTGTAACACATAAACTGGTCACTGTAACCTGTAACATAGTTACAATCACTGTAACACAGTAACTGATCACTGTAACACAGTTACAGTTAAATGTAACACAAACTAATCACTGTAACGTGTAAATAGTAACCAATTACTGTAAAACAGAAACCGATCACTGTAACACAGTAACTGATTATGGTAACATAGTAACCGATCACTGTAACATAGTAACCAATCACAGTAAAATAGTAACCAATCACGGTAACATAGTAACCAATCACTGTAACACAGTAACAGGTAACTGTAACACAGAAACCGATCACTGTAACATAGTAACCGATCACAGTAACCAATCACTACAACACAGTAACTGATCACTGTAACATGTAAATAGTAACCAATTACTGTAAAACAGAAACCGATCACTGTAACACAGTAACTGATTACGGTAACAGTAACCAATCACTGTAACACAGTAACCGATCGCAGTAACATAGTAATCAATCACTGTAACCAATCACTGCAACACAGTAACTGATCACTGTAACATGTAAATAGTAATTAATTACTGTAAAACAGAAACCGATCACTGTAACACAGAAACCGATCACTGTGACATAGTAACCGATCACAGTAACCAATCACTGCAACACAGTAACTGATCACTGTAACATGTAAATAGTAACCAATTACTGTAAAACAGAAACCGATCACTGTAACACAGTAACTGATTACGGTAACAGTAACCAATCACTGTAACACAGAAACCGATCACTATAACATAGTAACCGACCGCTGTAACACAGTAACCGATCGCAGTAACATAGTAACCAATCACTGTAACATAGTAACCGATCACTGTAACACAGTAACCGTTCACTGTAACAGTAACCAATCACTGTAACACAGCAAACGATCACTGTAACATGTAACCGTTCACATGAACACCAGCAAACCGTCACATTTGTCAGAGGATTCATGAAAAAAAAGCTTCACAATCTAAAGTGCCAGCACGAATAAATACGCATCAAATTTAGAAAAAGGGAGAAAAAGCATGGACTGAGATAAGCTGGAGACCGGAGCCGTCATGAGCACAGAGACTCTGTACATCAGGCTCCAGATCCGCCACTCATCGCTTCCTGTTTGAGACGATCGCCACTGAAATATGATGCGCTTTTGACTGCTGATTGTGATGGATTGTCGATACATTCTCTTTTCCTCATTACAATTACACTGAAATTCAAGGCCAACAATAATCTTTGTGAAATCTGTATCGTTTTGGAAAAAAAAAATTTAACCATAATAATTACATACATAGCGCCATCAGCAAGAAAAACATCACAGAATGTGTAGAAAGACAGAAGCTAGTCATACTAGTTAACCAGGTCAATCTGAAAATAACACTTTAGATCACAAATCTGTCATGGCAGTGAGAGGAAATTATTTTATGTATATCAAAATTCACAAAATGCCCAGCACTCGGAATATTCAAAATACATATCAGAAATCGTTTTTTAAAAAGGTGGTGACATCGATAAAATATTGCTTTGCCAAAAATGTGAGTTGAATTGAGAACTGACAGTGAAGTCCTTTCCAGGGTCTAACGGATCTCACTAGAAAAGTAAAGTGTGAATCAAACATCTCAGATTGTAATAAATGCAGAAGTCGGTGAAACGCTGGGGAGACTAAACTGATCAAACCTCAGGAAATCAAACCTGCATCTTCACATTAGCTCATCGACCATAAACAAATCTTATAACATTTATGAATAATAACAGTATCTTTTAGCAAAATAAACCCTGACAACTTTTGAAATCTTTGTGGTAAATCAAATTTAAGACCAAACTTTAAGAAAATAACTGCATATGGCTTAACTTCGGCCTCATTTGTGTGGTTCAAATGAAAAAAAAAAAAAAAAAAGTGATTCAATATATGTTTTCAATCACATCAGGCAGTAGATTTATTCACTCAGGTGTGTTTTAAAGCAGAATGCATGAAAACAAATTGTCAAGTTACCCCAAAACATCATTCATTAGGGATTCAATGTGACATCAGTCAGACTCTGATTGTTCGTGTGAAGAAACTGAAGACTTTACTTGACGTAAAATGCAGATAAAAATGTACTATAATATTAGAATAAGCCACTTGTATTGGCCAAATTATTGGACTTGATGTCAATTTTTCACTTGCCTCTGTGAGTGAAAAATAGAAAAATACAGGAATATGTTTATCAAAAGGTAAACGCTCTGTTATTGACTATATCTAATGAATAACATTGCTCAGATTCCTGACTCTCTAACTACACCACAGTCATTATTCTGTATTTGGTCCATATTAATGCAAGATTTTAGCAGTTCATTGAAGTAAATCAAAATAAAATGTAAAACAAACAAAAAAAAAAACTGACTACAAAAGGATGAGAAAAGAAACAAAACACATGCACACACCCAAAACAAACACCGTTAGCCGCTTTCCCCTGAGCGAAGGGACGAAATATTAAGGAATCAGGAGATATAATAACATATAACAAAACTGGCTCATACTGATTCAGACCAGCACTTAATCCAGTCGTATTTTGCACCTCGAATCTGATGCTCTCGTCCGTCCAGCAGGAGGAGACAGAGTTCAGATATCTGTCACTGGCACTCAACGATCAGATCAAATACTGAGTAATGCTGTTATCAAGCATCGAGCCCATGCAAATATTCACTTATGAATTCATAAAGGCATCTACAGTCTTGAAAAAAGGTAAAACAAAAGATGTGGACAGGCGAGGGACTGAATGAGAGCGCAGGAAACCGCTTGCATTCATTACTAACTGGACGTTTTCATCCCGTATTACAAAATACATGCACAGTCGGTCAGTATCAGTCATACAAATAAACCCCCCAATGAGAAATGAAATAAGTGCTTGGCTTTCAAGTATTTCTCTGACCAAAAAACAAAACACAAATAACTAATTCCCTTCAATTTGCTTTTAAAATAGAGATGCTGAAATGATGCTGAGGGGAAGAGAAAACCAGCAAGCGTAAAGGAACCAATCAGATGTCACGGACAGCAGGAAGTAAACGTTGATTGCAGCGAGTTTCCTCAATTTCAAACAATAAACCAGCAAATATTTATTTTGATGGAAAACTGCAGGGAGCGCTTAAAGCTTCTCGTTTGTTGTTGATAAGATGGTTGGCACAATAATTTCCTGAAATTTATGTTAAAGCGACTCACTAAAAACAATGAATCCTGTATTACTCGCATATATAAATGAACCCTTCACACTGAAACATTCAGTGCATGTATTTATTTAATTTAATCACAGTGATTTAATAATCATACTAAGCCATATCGTTTCAATTAATTGTGCAGGGTCATTGTGTTAAATACAAACGTTTCATCATCTACACAATCCTAGGCGACGTCAGTCGAAACGGAAATAATGACTCATTCTCAAGAAATCCAGGAGAAGAACAAAGACAGCAGGTCAGTTGTGAGTATGAATGCATCTCTTACCGAAGGTGATTTTACCCGAGTCCTCTTCATCGATGGCTCTGAACAGACGGCTGACCCTGAGCTCTCCGACGCCCAGCGCCGTCCTCAAGATGCACATCAGCTCGTTCTCTGTGATCGCACCGTCCTCCTCTGCCTCAAACATCTGAAGACATCACATAAACCAGCAGACTCTCAGAGCTGAGCATCATCACTGCAAGTGCAGTCATTCAATCGTTCCAGAAAACCCGGCATAATCTGCTCATCTGACCTGGAAGGCCAGCCTGATGGTGTCCAGTGTTTTTGCAGGCCGACACACCACAGAGAAGGCGATCACAAACTCCCGGACATCCATCGAGTGGTCTTCATTCTGCTCCGAGAGAGACGAGACGGAAATATTTCATGGCATTGAGCACAAGCAACAGCTAATCAGTGAAACGACGGAGGACACAGACATCTGATTCAATCGCACATTCACATCTGATCATGAACCATTAAAACTCCTGCTCAGAACTGTGTGGATGGATATTAATTTACCTCGTCAAAGAGAGCGAACATGTGTCTGAGCTCGCCTGACACGGGCAGCTCGAGGAACTGGGCGAAGTCCTCCAGACTCGGTCTCTGACCCTGCAGTTCACGAGCGCGCTTCCCATAATCCTGCAGGAGCTTCTCTGAGTTCACACGCTTCAGCCTGAGATTCAACACGAGCAATTCAGTACAAACCTCATCCAGCGTCAGCACGCGTTCACTCACATCAGTGCAGCCATGCAGAAATCACACAATCCAGTCAGAAAACGCAATCTACTGTATAAGCCAGAATGTCAGGCAAATGTTCTATGAATACATCAAAAGCAGGGCTGCACACTCAATCAGATCATATGCACTAGTGTCTGTAATATGAAGCAGTAGAATGTACTTATCAGTAATAAAAATAAACGTATTAAAACTTTAAGAAATATTGTGATTTTTCTTTCATGTTTTGATTTTAACAGTGAACCTGTGATGTGCAGCACTTTGTTTGACAAAAAAAAAAAAAAAAAAAAATTTTTTTTTAACTTGATTTTAACAGTGAACCTGTGATGTGCAGCACTTTGTTTGACAAAAAAAAAAAAAAAAAAGTTTATTTTATTACATTTTAAAATATTAAAGTGTTAATGCCTTCATTTAACTCTCACTGTTTTTGATGATAAAACCAGAACATTTTAAAAAGACAATGTAATTTCTGAAAAAAAATAAAAAAATAAAACAAACATTCCATTTCACCCTACTGTAAAATAATTTGAATAAATAATAAAATTGTTAAAGTTTATTAATTCAAGTGACTAGACATTATTTCTGATTACTAAAATTTAATTAAACCATTACAGCGAAATCAAGAACAATTAAAACGAAATAAACAGAATAAAACCAATAAACAAATTTGTGAGGGGGGTCAGATCATTTGACCCTAAAATGTAATTTTTGTTAAACTTTTAATAAATTGTTATTAAATTGCAAGTTTTATTATTTCAATTAATTAGGCATGCTTTTAATTACTAAAAATTTACTGAAAATGTAATTAAAACAGAAAACAATGGAATCCAAAGAAATGGTAACAATTAGTTTTTAATAAATGGCAATTAAAAATAAATTAATTAATAAAAATAAAATTTAAAGAGAGGAAAAATGGAACTGATTTCATAGTGCCCTAAAAATGCCATTTTTGATTTCCCTTTAATAAATTGATGTTAAATTGTATACGTTGCAATATGTCAACTAATTAGACATGTTTTTTGATTATTAAAACTTAACTATTAAAACTGAAAAAAAAAGGAATTCAATGGAAATTAATTTTTCCAATGGAAAAATCCATTAAATTAAAAATTAATTTCCCATACAAAAAATAAACTGAAAAATAAGAATTTTGGGAAACATAAAATTGATTCATAGTGCCATTTTCATCTATTTCATCTTCTGCATGCTGAAGTGTCTGCAGGCTAATTCTCCTCATCAACGTCTGTAATGAAAACGAGACTCACCCCAGACTGCGCACCAGTTTAGCGAACTCCAGCAGACACGTGTCGACGGGCAGCCGGATCTGACCCTCCGCCATGGCTAGCTGACAGTCTTCATACGAGTAGTCTGTGACGGGGACCTGCAGGGCCCTTCAGACATAACACATGACAATCAGACACACGCATTCATCAGAGTCTGTCCTAACATACAGCAGAAACATTTGGTTATGATTATGATCCCTCTGTTGAGATGTCTCACTCATCACCCTCAGAGAACCAAGGTTATAACCATAACCAAATGTTCTCTTTCGGTCGACTCGCTCGACATCTCACTATGGGATATAGAAAACACCCAATATTCAGGCATCCCTAGCTTACTCATTGCACTTAGGGGTTTCTGTTCTCCTTTCCTTTATCATTTTTTTATTGTGCTTCCAGCACTGCCTGTACCAAGGCAGACTTTGTAACGTCCAATTTACAAAATCTCACAAATGTATGTGGAGAGACCCAGTCAGCTGCTGAACACACATTTCCCATAGAGATGCCTTTAAATAACACCCAAGACGCAGCCATTCCCCTTGTAGAATGGGCCTTTAGGTTTTCTGGTAATAGCTGACCCTTTGCTGAATACACCAGCTTCATAGCCTCCACTATCCAGTGAGATGCTGCCGATTCCCCTTTCTCTAGGGATTCTGAGAGAGGAGGGTGGAAAGCCTTAATTTCTACATCCATACATGAATAGCCAGGCTTGATTACCTTGTGCACGAATGCTGGGTTTGGAAGCAAGATAACTCTGGAAAAGTTTTGTGTATACCTGATACATGCAGGGTTGATAGGCAATGCATGTATCTCTCTGACCCGCTTCATAGAGGTCAGGGCAAGCAGTAAAGCTGTCTTGTATGAGACAATCATCAACTCTGCAAGCTCCAAGGGTTCAAAAGGGGCTTCCCTGAGTGCTTCCAGGACCAGGGACAGATCTCATGCTAGTAACATAGGTCTGGTAATTGGTCTCAGACGGCGCACACCCTTCATAAATCTACTTATGATAGGATGCTTTCCCACTGTTTCACCATTAAATCCCATATGACATGATGAAATGGCCGCCAGGTACACTTTGATTGTAGAGAAGGCTTTGCCTTCTTCTAGTATCGCTTGAAGGAAGGTAAGAATGTCCGACACTGATGAAAGAATCTTTTGTCTTTCCTGACACCATAGGCGCTTTCGTACCGGAGGAACCTTTTCATAGTTCCTAGAACTACTGCCAGAAGTTCCCGCTTTTTGGCGTCTTCGCACCACAGGAACTAGGAACGCATTTAGTTCTAGGAACTACATTTAGGGGAACTAAATGAGTTCCTAATTCTATAAAAAAAAGTTATACAGGAACTACCAGTGACATAAGTGTACGCTGATTGGCCAAACACATACGAAACACTGGCTATCCAGCATTTTTAAAAAGCCGTGTAAAAATATTTACTCCATGAACATGGAAAACAGCAATAACATTTTGTTCTTTTCCCAGCCTCGACGATAACACTGCAAGTTGTCATTGGAGATTTAGTCAGATTTTCATGCTCTTTCAATCGCGTAAACTGTGTTTACATCTCCATTATCACGAACCCCACGACGCACAACAAAAACAGCTCCGAACACAACGTCTTCCATTCACCGGTTGTTGATGTCTGTAAATGCGAATAAAGATGTCACAGTCGGCCACTTCTAAGTTCCTGCTGCCGGTGCAAATGCAACCAGGAAAACGGCCAGAGGGAGAAATTGGTTCTCTAGGAACGACCTTGCTGGCAAGTTCCTAGAACTACACGGTGGCGAAAGCGCCTCATGTCTCAAACCTTTTCCATTTTGCCTCATACATAGATCTGGTGGAGTCCACTCTAGCACTCAGTATGGTCGAGATCACATTCTGGGGCAGGACCAGAGCGTTCAAGACCTCTCATGGGCCAGACCCAAAGATTCAACCTCTCCAGATGTGGATGAAAAATCCTCCCCCCTGCCAGAGGGAGGAGGTCCATCTCTGCTGTCCACGTCCTCCCTGGTCATGATGGGGTTATTAGGAGCACCCGCACCCTCTATATTCTGATTCTGGACAGTGTGGGCAGGAGAAGGCTTATTGGTGGGAAAGCTTATAACAGGGACTCTGGCCAGGGATGTGCTAATGCATCCATCCCTAGTGGCGCATTCATTCCCTTTAGTGAGAAGAACAGGGGACAATGCGTGTTCTCCTCTGAGGCAAATAGATCCACTTTTGCCTGACCATATTTGTCTCATATTCCCTGAACCACCTCTGGGTGGAGCCTCCAGTCCCCTGGGTAACTGCAATGAGTTCCAGACAATTTATATGCATTATTTTGACTGATTCTGTCCATACCACATGTTGTCTTTCCATTATCACTCCCCAACCCAGTGAGGATGTGTCTGTGGTGACCACTTTGAGATTTGAGACCACTCCCATTGGCACACATTCCATCAGGAATTTCCTGTCCCGCCAGATGAGCAGAGCTTTGAGACATTGGGCTGAGATGCACACCCTCCTGTGCAGATGTCTGGAGGGATTTAATTTCAGAGAAGCAGTCCATCTCTGAAAATCTCTCATGAACATCAGCCCCAAAGGCACTACTGCTATGACTGAATCCATGAGGCCCAGCAACCTCAGACACAGCCGAAAAGAGACTGTTTTCCCCAGATGAAACTGATTCACACAGTTCCCTAAACTCTCTCCCCTCTGTTCTGACAGGGTTGCCCGGTAAGATATTGAATTTAGGTTTAAACCCAGTAATGTCACTGACTTTGTTGGAGTTAATGCGCTCTTTTTCTGGTTTACTACAAACCCCAGAGCATTCAAATCCATTAACACTGCCCTTGTATGCAGCTCTGCCATCTCCTTTGACCTAGCAAAAATTAATCAGTCATTGAGATACACTAATATCCTTATGCCCTGCTGCCTCAGAGGTGTTGTGAAAATGTGGGGTGCTAGAGACAGGCCAAACGGTAGAACCCTGAACTTGTATGTCCTGCCCTCGAATGCATGTGAAGAGATGTAGGATGCCATACTGGGCCAGCGCTGAGGTTTATATAGGAATGGATGGGGATTCCCGAGAGCGTGGGCCAGATGGGCATGATTGTATAGGGCTTCATGGATGGCCACGCAAGAGGCGTTTACCATAGTGAGATGTAGAGCGAGTCGACCGAAAGAGAAACAAAACTCAGTCATGAACACAAATGGTCACAGTTCACCCAATATCAAAAAAAGAAAAAAAAGTTTCAGGACTGTTTTTGCATTGTTTCCATGACAGTTAAGCACATTTTACGCTCTCATCTCATCATACATATAGATTTAATAATTAATTAATTAATTAATGTTTTTTTTTTCCCTGCATGAGAATTAGGGTGCTTAATTGTTATTAAAATAAAGTTTTTTTTTTTTAGATTTGCAAGATATGCATTAAAAAAAACTGTACATGACTAATGAATTAAGATTTTTTTTTTTTTAATGTCATTAATGCATTTATTACATTTATTTGGGCCTGTTCTATAGCTTTCCTTACTCAAAAAGAAATTGAATGCAGAAATGAGTGAACTACAAAAATACTATGAGATTAAGAATGATTATATAATGTAATTGATTAACAGAGACATTGCAATAAATGAGGGGAAAAAAACAACAACAACAACAACAAAAACTTAACAGTCCTAAAAATAGCTTTTAATGTTATTTATGAAAAAATAGATATTTTCATTCATTCATTTTTTAGGTTATGTTTATGTTTTCACAGGTTTTGTGAAATTCATCCATAAAAGGCCTGTTTCCACCTAAATAAAATATAAATTGTTTGCAAGCAGGTTTTCTGCTGCTGATGAATTTATTGTTTAAAATAAACAAATGCTAAAAAAACTTAAATACTAAAAAAAAAAACACAAATTAACAACAACACTAATAATAATAATAATAATAATAATATTAATGCTGTATATAATGCACTATACAGTAATTTGGAAATTTTCTTTCTCATATATGGACAGTAATTAAACAGGCAACAACAGGTAATGAAACACAAATATTGAAACATCTTTACAAATTAATGTACATATTTACATATTTTTTTGTAAATACAGAGAGATTGAGGCCATGAGGAGCGCCGAGATCTTACTTTGCCATCAAGCGGCGCACGTTGTGAGCGAAGAGCGCTGGGTTCTTCTTCTCCTCCTCTGAGGGCGAGTAAATGGGCAGATACTGAGAGAAAGAGAAAAGCACACTGAAGACTCGTCTGTGTGAATCAGCTCAAGTGAAGTCCAGCCACACAAACCGCAGCATTCAGCACAGTCTGTCCATGCTGGACTGCAGCTCACGCTAAAGCAGGTCACATCACCGCTATTGACATGCAGCGCCTCGTCCCACTTTACCACCAACTTTACCACAGCTGCTTAATGACTTCTAATGACTAGAACGAGTCTGGAGAATCTGCAGGAACCACTCCGGAACACAGACACAGATACACTGATATCAGCAATCTAATCAAAACCTCTGCTCTTCTGCCAAGCATCACTAATATTCTGCTCATATGTAGAGTTAGAGCTCTGTTGGCATTACTAACCCTGATAAGCTTCAGCTTGTGTGAATCCTGAGTGAACAACCTCATGTGTCTTGAGGAGAGCAGACAGACCAGAACACCTAAATAACCCAAATTTCGTTCTTTTGCTCCAAGTTTTCCAATTACTTTTATTTTTGCCCGTTTAAATTTTTCTGGACTCTGTTTTAATGGTTAAATTAAATTTCAGCAATCAAAAAGCATGTCTGATCAATTGAAAACATGGAACATACAATTTAACAACAACAATGTTTATTTTTTAATAATTTAAATAAATATAATTGTTTTAATTAAACTGTAATCATCAAAAAGCAAGTCTAATCAACTGAATTTATAAAACTTTCTCTATATTTGGAAAAAAAATAGGGCTCTATGAAATGTTTTATTTTTTTCTGAAATTCAGTGTTGTGTATTTGAATTTTTCTGGATGTATCATGTATTAAAAATACATTCGTTTAAAAAAAGAAGATCTTCTACGGTTCAGAAGACAACACAAAACATGCCAGAGAAGAGAGCCTCACCTCGATCTCGAACTCATTGTGAAGCTGACACAGAGTCAACCACAGGATCTTAAACCTGCAAAAGAGCAGAGTTACACTGATGTGTGCCATTTTCCAAGTGAAGGTTCCTTCCTTTAATATATTCTGCTCTGGCAGTGAAGCTCCACCTGCACTGCTTACTGTATGTTCATCTAGCACTACAGCTATGAAAGAGCCGAATGAAAAGCTGCGGAGAAATGAGGCACTTACGCTCCGGGCCCCTGCCATGTCCACGTGATAGTGTCCTGTAACGAAAAGCACCACGTCAATCCATCAGCATTCACCACACAAACACACACAGCTCAGAACAAAACACCTGCTGACAGGACGCTCCACACCATCAAACAGAACATAGTCAGAGATATCAATCTACTGTACATCAGTGTGTGTAAATGATGACAGCTTTCATGATTGGACTAATTATTATTAAAGGGGTCATATGATGCGATTTCAATTCTTCCTTTCTCTTTGGAGTGTTACAAGCTCTTGGTGCACAAAGAAGATCTGTAAAGTTTCAAAGACTAAAGTCTCAAATCCAAAGAGATATTCTTTATAAAAGTTAAGAGTCAACCACGCCTGCCTAAAACGGCTCGTTCTAACACGCCCCAACATA